TGAATTATGCTTTAACATGCATGAGTAGATGAATGTGAATAGGGATGTTCCCCCAAAAAGCCGAGGTCGAGGCCGGAGAGTCCGTATGCTCGTAGGGCATACGCTAGGGACAGAATAAAGAATGCGTAATGAAATGCTGAGAAGGTTTGCAAACAACTTACCGAGCCAGGTTGTTGATGAGGATGGCGACCACGGTTGACGCCGAGAACTTACCGATGATGATTTACCCATGATGATGATGATGAACCCATGATGATGATGAACCCATGATGATGATGATGATCCCATGATGATGATGATGAACCCATGATGATGATGATGATGATGATGAACCCATGATGATGGCGATGATGATGATGACGATGAACCCATGATGATGATGAACCCATGATGATGATGAACCCGTGATGATGATGAACCCATGATGATGATGAACCCATGATGATGATGAACCCATGACGATGATGATGATGATGACGATGATGATGATGATGAACCCATGATGATGATGATGATGAACCCATGATGATGATGATGAACCCATGATGATGATGATGATGATGATGATGATGATGATGATCCCATGATGATGATGATGAAGATGATGATGATGATCCCATGATGATGATGATGATGATGACGATGATGATCCCATGATGGTGATGACGATGATGATCCCATGATGATGATGATGATGATGATCCCATGATGATGATGACGATGATGATCCCATGACGATGATGATCCCATGATGATGATGACGATGATGATGAATCCTGCGGATGATGATGACGATGGTGCATCCCATTATGATGACGATGATAATGAATCTTGCGGATGAGTCTGATAATGAATCTTGCGGATGAGTCCATATAGAACATATAACATGACGGGATACAGACATGACGAGACGCAGACATGGTGCATATTGATGCATTGGAAATGCAAGCAAAATGGCGTAGGGATGCATGACGAGACACGACGAGACACAGATAGGGAGCATGTGATGCATGGGGAATGAATCTTGCGGATGAGTCTGATAATGAATCTTGCGGATGAGTCTGATAATGAATCTTGCGGATGAGTCCATATAGAACATATAACATGACGGGATACAGACATGACGAGACGCAGACATGGTGCATATTGATGCATTGGAAATGCAAGCAAAATGGCGTAGGGATGCATGACGAGACACGACGAGACACAGATAGGGAGCATGTGATGCATGGGGAATGAATCTTGCGGATGAGTCTGATAATGAATCTTGCGGATGAGTCTGATAATGAATCTTGCGGATGAGTCCATATAGAACATATAACATGACGGGATACAGACATGACGAGACGCAGACATGGTGCATATTGATGCATTGAAAATGCAAGCAAAATGGCGTAAGGGATGCATGACGGGACACGACGAGACACAGATAGGGAGCATGTGATGCATGGGGAATGAATCTTGCGGATGAGTCTGATAATGAATCTTGCGGATGAGTCTGATAATGAATCTTGCGGATGAGTCTGATAATGAATCTTGCGGATGAGTCTGATAATGAATCTTGCGGATGAGTCTGATAATGAATCTTGCGGATGATTCTTGCGGATGATTACATATAAGAAGAATTGATGCATTAGGGAATGCATGCTAAATGGTGTCAAGGATGCATGACGAGACACAGACCAGACGTGACGTGACACACAGGAGAATGCATATAATGCCTGTCATAAAGGTGAGATTGCATGAATGCGAGCCAGAATGAAGATAGCATGAATAGCAAGGAGACAGCATGGAAGACTGCATGAAGCAGGGAATAATGAAGAAAACTGATAAGAAGTGGGAGTAGAAAATGAGTTAGAGGATGGTCGTGATTAGGTCAGAAAATTATGAAAATGAGTTGAACCACCACCAGTATTTGTAATAGAGTTACCTAGAGGCAGAGAGAGCACTGAGCTGAGAGAATTGGTGAGAGTTCTGGCGGATGAATGAGGTATAGGCTGGTGAGCCATCGGCCCAGAGCTGAGGGAAGCCTCAGAACCCCGCGAGTAGCTGCAATGCAGCTGCTCGGTCCAGAACCAATGCCCAGATTACCTACTAGAGGGAAGGCCACGTGATTCTAAGAGTATCCTAAGGTGGTGAAGAACCATGAGTGGACGTAGGGTAATGCTTGGGCGAATAAAAGTGCTGAATGCCTGAACATAACGCACTGAGATGATGAAACGTTAGTGACTGCTGCCAGTGATGCTTCTGATGAAGGCATGAGAGACTGGGAGGAGGAGTGACTTATTAGTGGCTTCAACTACTACGAAGTTATCGCAGTGGGCGGACGCGATTCCTTCCCAAAGCCCCACGATGCAAGCTAGCTAGGGTTAGACCTCACACGAGCATAATGGGTGTGAATAAAAGAGGCCATGAACCACCTGTCCTGAAGAACCCCCCAAAACCTACGGATGCAGCATCCGAAAAATTTTGAAGCATGGCAGGAGATAGATAATTTCGACATAGAAAAGAAATTTGTTCCCATTAGAAGCAGTCAGACCAGGAGATCCGAACGGCAGCCTACGTTCAGTAATCTGACCAAGGAGAGGGACGGAAATTGCCGGATCAAGCAACTGGGAATGAAAGCGCGGCCTTGAGAAATAGCGCATGGCAAATTAGCTGACCTAGCAAGGAGCGCAATTGGCATTTAGAAATGACTGATGTAGAACATCAGTTTGTGTGTGTGTTTTTTTTTTTTTTTTTTTGAAGAAGAAGAAGAAGAAGAAGACAGAACGATAATCAGAAGTAATAATAAGGGGTGGTAAGATGACGGGCTGCTAAGACTGAGGTACGATATATATGAAGCGTGCACGGCGGGGACAGACTGATCGGATGGCCTTCCTGCAGAAGCTCTGAGTAATCACGATAGATGCTGAATGCGGCCAAAATTTGGCCAATAGAAAGATCTCTGGTAGACGGAGATCGGATGATTTAAGAAAAACGGTGACGTCACCTGCTGATCGACTTCAGGGGAGGGAAGAATAAGAGACTAAATTAAAATATTCCCCTGAATAATTTAGAACGAGGCTAGGGAAAATATCAGCATGTGTGTTAATATAAGTATGCCTGATAGAGGCAGACGAAGCATAAGAGCAAACTCAAATAGATAGAAAATTATGAATGAAAACATGGTTGAATACGTCTTACCCTAAGGCTGGCCCAGGGCGGGCGTTCCCTAATGTGAATGAGGGGAGGGGGAGGTCCGTCTGAGCAGACAGCGGCAGGGATGACGTGGCAGTGCAGGGATTCCCACGTTTGGAGCGTGCGGACAGCGTCGAAGGATTGAGTGAGAGAGTCCGGTGGAGCGGAGGGAGGCTGAGAGCTGTTAAACGCCAGAAGGACTAGACGGGGGAGCTGCTATGAATCAGGAAGCTGAGAAGGTCCAAGGCTGCATCGAAACGATGAGAAGGAGCGGGCGTAGCGGTGACTGCTGCTGGGACAGATCCGGGAGGCCTTCTGCGCCTGGCGAGGGGAGCGGAGGACTTGCATGTCTTTTGCGGCCAGGAATCGGAGCGGATTGAAGCGGAAGGCGAGGGAGATGAATCACGAGGAGGTAGGAGGGAGGCTCGTCAAGACATCTGAGCAGAGTCTAGGTCGGAGCCTGGCAATATACCCTTGGAGTGTAACGCGGAAGAAGGAGATGAGAGCGGCTAGACGGGAGTTTCTCCGAGCGGGGAAAATTGAATTGTCGTCTGGATCGAAATCCGACATTGCGATTGCAGGATAGCGGCTGTGGTGAGATTTGAGGGAGTTTATAAAGTGGAAGCAGGACGCTGATTGGGCTTCGTGGTGGAGTAGTTCAAAGCTGATTGGCTCGCTTCGGAGACGGATCGGCTTCTGATGATGTGAGGTAAGTCAGAGTTTCTTCAATTGAACTTTCGCTAGAGCTTCATTTGTGACCCCCTTAACATAAGTACTTTTAAACACTTCAGAATAAAGTGAATAAGGATTAAAAAAAATACACAAGATAAAATACCACTAAACTACAGAAGCATATTGCTGTCACTTAAGAAAATACATTTTTGCTAATTATATTGAATAAATGTTATAGTTATATTGTATAAACGTGATCACTAAACTCATTGTATGCTCAGGAGCAGACATGTACTATCAAATTATTATGGACACACCTTGGTTTGCAATAAAATTTAGTAAGGCTGGGGTTCAAGGAGTAGGAGGAGGTGTATCCAGCTGCTTAGAATATAATCAACTATAAGGCTGACGGTAGCTTCTTGTGTGTGTGTGTGTGTGTGTGTGTCTGTGTGTAACCTTGTTTTTGGTACCCGATGGGGACAATTTCCCAGGAATATGCTACATTTTGTGGACTTATGGGGGCAGTGAGTTGGTCCCAATGAGGAAGGTTATCTTCTTGTGGTGGTGGGTTATGTTTAAAACAAAGGTCTGAATTGAATTTAGGTTAGGGATTTTTTTTGTATTGGTTAGGGTAAAGGTCTGGGTTAGACCATAGAAGCAAGTTGGATATGAATGGATGTGAATGGAAAGTCCCCACAAGGATAGAGAGACACAACAGGGGTGTGTGTGAGTTTGTAGGTTGGAGACGGATTAAAGTAGCCTACATATGTAGGCTACTTGCACCCTTTTTCATTAAATGTCAGTGTTTTTTAAACAATTACATTAACCATGAATAGACTCTGAAAACATTTTTAAACAGTTGGTACCAAAACCTACACAAGAAAATTGTGTCAGAGTATGTCTCTGTATTAATTGCTTCCTTTTTTTCAAATTTTTTAAACTGACCTCTAAAGACCAACACAGCCAACTAAATCTTAGGTGTAAGAAATTCCAACAAAGGTTAAAGAGTTTCTTTACTCTTCTATAGCTTTTCAAAAATAGCCTCCAACCTTTTTTTCCTGGGTTGATCCTTTTATCTTGCATAATTGAGTACACAGTGAACAGAGTCAGAGTTCATTTAGTTAATGAATATCTTTCAGGTGCAGCTAAAGATAATAGCTTGTTTTCTGCAGACGCACAACCACCATGGAGCTGCGTCTCTCCGTCTGTGTCCTGCTGCTGCTTTGTGCATCAAGATGTTCAAACGGAGGAAAGATTTTGGTGTGGTACACTGAGGCCAGCCATTGGATCAACATGAAACCTATACTGGAGACTCTGGTGGACAGAGGACACCAGGTGACCGTCCTGGTTCCAAGTGCATCGATGTTCATGAATAGCAGCGAACCTTCTCGCTTCCAGTACGAACCATTTGACGTCTCCATCTCACTGGAGGCCATGGAGGAATCACTTGAAGAATTTATTCATTTTGCAATGTATGAGGCAGATTACATGAGCTACTTTCAGGTTTATGTCAGATATATGGAACTTATGAAGATTGAGCTGCAGAATGACCTTGATATCCTCAGTGGTGTTGTCAAGTCAGAAATGCTGATGAAGAAGCTGAAGAGGGAAAACTTTGATCTGCTTTTTGCTGATCCCCTCCTGCCTGGCAGTGAATTGACTACAGACATGTTGGGCATCCCCCTCGTTTACTCGCTGCGTTTCTCCTTAGCTCATAACTGGGAAAGGATGTGTGGTCAGCTACCTGCTCCACCTTCCTTTGTCCCTGGCGCTATGAGCAAACTTACAGACAAGATGGACTTCTCAGAGAGACTGTGGAACATCCTCTTCTATGCTCTGAATGACATTGTAATTGACAACGTTATGTGGAATATGTTAGATAAATACTACTCAGATGTCAAAGGTAAGCAGGTAAAAAAAAAACAGCAAGTGTGAACACATTTATTGTCACATTAAGTCCTAATATTGCTTAAAAGAACTTCACTAAAGGGCTTTCATGGACACTTTTTCACTAATTTACTGTATGACAGGAAGTCCCACCAGTGCCTGTGAGTTAATGGGTAAGGCTGATATCTGGTTGATGAGGACCTACTGGGATTTTGATTTTCCTCGCCCAATCCTCCCCAATTTCAAGTTTGTTGGAGGGATCCACTGCAGACCAGCTAAACCTTTACCAACGGTGGGGCCTTTTCCTCCAATGTAGACAAAGAGCATTTAGTGATGAATAAAATTCAATGACTAACGCATTACACATTTTGCAGGATATGGAAAAATTTGTACAGAGCTCAGGAGATGATGGTATTGTGGTGTTCACTTTGGGATCCATGATTAGGAACGTCACCATGGAGAAGGCAAACTTAATAGCTTCAGCGCTTGCTCAGATTCCCCAAAAGGTCTGTAAAACATTCCGGATCTTCTCTAATTAACTATTTATCAACTGATGCAACTTTTCTGAGCTTAATCTAATAAGATTAACTAGCTTAGGAGTTTATGTAGGCTACATCATAAGTACTTGGACAACTGCAAACTATCTGCAGTGTTAATAGGGTTTCCTTACTTGCTATAGCCTTACTACTGTATATTCCCTATTTTTTATATACAGTTTTTTTTTCATAGATCAGTCTTTGATTTGAATTCAAACCTCTCTTTCTTTTGAATTAAATGCCAATTGAGCTCAATACCCAACACAGCCAGTACCTTAGTGCAACTTATGAAGATAACAGAAGTACAGCATCATCTAAAAACCCATCCCATAATGACAGAGGTCCACTTTTTTACAGCTATGACTGAACTTATTTCTTATGATCTTTGTTTTGATTTTCAAAAGAAAAAAAAAAAAACAAATTTTGGTTTTAAAGTGATAGCAAGTCTTCCAAACCTCTAAGCTAATAATTTGCAAGGATAGAGTTAAATTAAAACTCTGCATTTCTGTTGAACTTTACAATCTTATCAGTAAAAAAATGTGCAGCAAAACCTTTCACTGCTGTTTTTTTTTGTTTTGTTTGTTTGTTTTGCAGGTACTTTGGCGATATAATGGGGACAAACCAAAAACGTTGGGTTCCAACACCAGGATTTTAAGCTGGATTCCTCAGAACGACCTGCTGGGTGGGTAAAGTTCAGCTCATTTCAACTCAAATGTTTTGGCAGAAGAAACGATTTAGGGATTATATGTGCAGATCGCCCGTTTCTTACAGTTCAACCTCAAAAGGAACAAATGTTTCAGTAGAAGTTTTGATGTCTTTACTGTAGAATACAAAGTTGGTGACGCAGTAAAAGAAAGAAACAATTCAGATTTCTAAAACTAAATGCATGTCATTCAGTAAAGCCTGTATAGTATAATTCACTTTTACACAAGCCAACACAATTATTTTCAAACTAAAAATAGTAAATAAATACAATGAATCCTTTTATATAATATGTCTTATCTTTTTTTTTTATTACTAAATGATCTTGTTGATTAATGGCTTTGGTTAAAAAGTAACTCGCACTGAAATGTTTTAACTTTGGCCTTTATCAGGTCATCCTAAAACAAAAGCGTTCATCACTCACGGAGGAACAAATGGGATCTATGAGGCCATCTATCACGGTGTTCCTATGGTAGGCATTCCAATATTTGGGGACCAACCAGACAACATGGTGCACATGGAGGCTAAAGGAGCTGCAGTCATTCAGAACATAAACTTCATGACAACAGAGAGCCTGAGGGATGCGATCCTGACTGTCATTAATGACAAATCGTAAGTTCTTACCCATCTAAATCATTGTAATTTTCAAGGACTTTCAAAAATTATCTACGTTGATTTAAATGAACTAATGAGATTATAACGAAGTGACTCAACAGATTTGAAAGCAGGGAAACTGAGTTTTCCATTTCACAAAGAGAGTTTACTCGACCTCCGTTTCTGTTGCTGTAACATTCTCCCCAGAGCTAACCTGGTCGGAAGCAGGTTTTGTTCATTAATTAAATTCTGTTTATTTATATAGCCCCAATTCACAAAACAAATGTAATGTCAAGGCACGTTACAGTTCAACAAATCATACAGTCAAATAGATTCAAAGTTTTCTATCTAAGGAAAACCAGTTGATTCATCCATCCAGGATGGCTTGTAGTGACAGTGGAGAGGAAAAACTCCCTTTTAACAGTAAGAAACCTCCAGCAGAACCAGGCTCTAGGCTATAGCAGCATAACTATAGAGAAAGCTAAGGATAACCTGAACCCCTCTAACTATAAGCTTTTTCAGAAAGGGAAAGTTTTAAGCCTAGCCTTAAAAGTAGACAGAGTGTCTGTCTCACGGTAGTTGGTTCCACAGAAGAGGTGCCTGATAACTAAACCTTCCATTCTACCTTTAGAAATTCTAGGAACCACAAGTAAACATGCAAAATGAGAGCGAAGTAAGTGATATAAGATGGAGGTTGGCCATTTAAGCTTTATACGTATGCAGAACAGGATTTTAAATTCTGTTCTGGATTTAACAGGAAGCCAATGAAGAGAAGCTAGGATAGGAGAGATATGTGCTCTGTTCAAATAAATGGGCTGTGTCCTCCGAAGGCCAGATTTGAAGGACGATTGCTTCATAGCGTGGCGCTGAGGTCTGGTCGGATTCCAAGACTCCTCGTTATGCAGCCTACAAATGCGTCCTTCTTTTTGCCCGATTTGAAGGATGGTGTCACTACCTGATCTGTCCCGGAAGCATGATCCGTTCTTCCGTTCTTCACAAGTATGTGAATAGTTATGACTGAAATTAATGAAAATAGTTGTTTGAATGGTTATTGCATCAGCTATTTGGCGGGTAATGTGTAATTTATCTAAAGGTTTTTATCTGTTACTGTGTAAATGGGTTTGGCTTCAATATAGGGACAGATTCTAATATATCTGCAGTGCAGTGGGACTATAAATCTGATATCACTTATTTTTTTATTGCCGTTCTGCACAATTTGCTTAACTAAGTATTTTTTGCTGTTGAATATTAAAGATTTTGCAGATATATTTTTTTTATACATTTTCACATGAGTGAAGTCTTTCTTCACTTAAAAAAAAATATAAAAATAAAAATACAAAGTTTTGAAAAGATCGGTATTCATTATTTTCCTGCTTTTTGTGTAAACTGTCATGGTTGCTGAGCGACAGAGCGTACTGGTAAAAGCCGCCGAAGGGTAGACCTGTTTGAATTCACAACCAAAACTCTTCTGCTCTCCTTATTTTCAAGGAAGAAGCAGCACATAAATTTAACCAGAGCTTTGATCACTCTTTTTAATTTTCATCAGAACTCTGGCTGCAGCATGTTGGATCAGCTGAATATTTTTTAAATACAGTTAGTGGACTTCCTGATAATAAAGAATTACAATAGTCCAGCCTTGAAGTAACAAATGCATGGACTAGTTTCTTAGCATCACCCCTGGACAGGATATTTTTGCAATATGCTGTACTGTAGATGCAAGAAGGAAATTCTAGAAACCTCTTTGATATGGGATTTAAATGACAGGTCCTGATCAAAAATAACCACAAGATTTTTTTACTTTATTATCATAAATCAGTTTAATCCCATCCAAATGAAGTGGCTAATTAATCAGTTTCTAATCAGACTCTGGTCCAAAGAATATAACTTCTGTTTTGTCTGCATTCAGGAGCAGAAACTTAAGAGTCATCCAGGTTTTTATGCCTGTAATCTATGTAATGGGTTAGCTTCATCTGGATTAATGGACAGACATAGCTGAGTATCATCAGCATAACAGTGGAAATTAATCCCATGCTGTCTAATAATTCTACAGATTGGGAGCATATATATATAGTAAAGAGAATTGGTCCTGGAACTGATCCCTGTGGTACTCCACAGGTTACCTTTGAGCACGAGGAAGATTTGTCATCAACTTTAACTAACTGAAATCGATCAGATAGATAAGACCTAAACCAGTCCAGCGCCATTCCCTTAATTCCCACAAAATATTTGTCTTTCTAAAAGAATATTATGATCAACTGTTTCAAATGCAGCACTGAGATCCAACAGGACGAGGACAGATACAAGTCCATTATCTGACGCCATGAGAATATCATTAGTGACTTTCACCAGAGCTGTTTCAGTGCTATGATGAGCTCTAAAGCCAGACTGAAACTCTTCAAAACGTTCATTATGGTGTAAGTGATCACACACTTGTTTGGCAACTACTTTCTCAAGAATTTTAGATAAGAAAGGAAGAGGAAGATTGGATATATGTCTATAATTGACCAAGTCATCTGGTTCAAGAAAGTGGTGAGCTCAGAGTTTCCTCTGTCTCCGCTCTCCTTAGAGCCAATCACGTCATTTTATTTCCTGATTTAGGCAGAAGATTGCCGTCATAGTTTTGTGCATACAATAATAAAAAAAAAATAATAAAAGAAATTTAAAAGTCATCCAATAAGTCTATTAGAGTCTTGGGTTTTAAAACTAAACATTGCATGTCTTATTGACGAGGATCTTATTATATTCCCATGGGATAATGAATAGGTCCTACCTGTTCATTATCCCATGAACTTCATCTTCATCTGCTGACAGCTGACAGCACCTAAATAGATACATTAATCCACAACCATTCAAGCAATAAACTAGTTTTCCGCATAATGTTAAGCCACTTTGATAATGTTTGTATTAGTTTGAATATGTATTTTACATATTTTAAAACAAACTTCCTTATCAAAATTATCATTTAAAACAAAATAACATTCTTCACATCTTGAGCAAACATTTGGGATGTCTAGACGGGAATTTCAGTTTTACATAGGCCTATTTCTTACTTGATTATTTTGACAATGAAGAAATGTAGTTCAGATATAAATGTATATTCAGTCAAGCTGATAAATGTGAAAACGGCCACTTATGTGTAAATATTATAGGCATGTAAACTTTAAATCATCCTCTCTTTTTCAACTAGATGAACTGATTAATTCAGGTTTTGCCTGACCTCGGTAACCATGGCCAGACACACCTGGATTAATCCATCCATCCAGTAGAAAAAGACAGGAAACAAAAGAGCTTCCTTAAGTTCAGGAGGTAGTGGAGTTGTGGATAGAGCTCATTAGTGCCAAACAAAATAAATGGTCCACATTCAAGCCTGGTAAAGCCAAACAGGAAGCCCCAAGATGCATTTCAGCTTGGTTTTGTAGAACTAGACCATTTCAATCATTTCCTCTGGTGCAATTACAGAGGACAACTTCATGAGAATATTTAAGTTGGCATGCAAGACGTGCACAACTTAATAGCATAAATAAAACATAATTATGTGGTATTTCTGCTGTCAGATAAAAAATAAAAACTTAATCCTTGTCTCAAAACTAAAAAAAATGGTAAACGTTGACTAAAGTGAAAATTAAAAAAATACCACCTGGCTAATTTCATGCATTTATGTCAATTGTTAATGATTATTTCTTACAACTAATGACAACCAGATTTTTATACAGAAATCTTAGTCCACTCTTGTTAAGTATGATACACTTCAGCATGTGAGCATCACTGGGTCTAGCGTCTAATCTTAACACCAAGAATTATTCTCTGGTTTGCTGGTCAATGCCATTAAACCAGGCATTGGTACATTTGGTACCAATGACCTTTCTGCACCAAAAATATTTTCATCAAAAGGCTTTTAAAAACTAAAAGTTGGGTTTCCACCAGCTGTATGCCAAAGTTTCTAATTTAGCTATGGAAAGCACTATTCATTTCATATTTCATATTTTGAAAAGTTAATGAGACAAATTGACTAAGTATTAAATCTCTAAAAAATGAAAAGCTAATGTGACACACTGTTTTATGCATTCCCATAGAACTCACAAATGACTTGTGGTCCATCCACTAAAGGTGTTCAATGTTAGACCATAACACACAAGTTAATCTTTTGGATGGTTAAGCTGTTAAAACACTAGATCTAGGTGCTAATCTGTGGGCTGCTAGTAAACATTTATTTCACTCATCCACAGCTACAAGGAGAACATGATGAGACTGTCGAGAATCCACCATGACAGACCCATGAGTCCTCTGGATGAGGCGGTTTTCTGGATCGAGTTCACTATGAGAAACAAAGGAGCCAAACATCTGCGGGTCCAGGCCCACGAACTAACCTGGTACCAGTACCACAGCCTGGACGTCCTAACCTTCTTCCTCATTTTAGACATACTCTTCATCTTTATTCTTTTAAAGACCTGCAGCTTCTGTTGGCACAGATGCTGCAAAAGTAAAAAGGTCAAAAGAAAAGCTGAATAAAAGACAGAATAGAACCTTTCAGAACTTAATGGGAACTCAACCATTCATCTCCACCCTCAAACTTTACTTCAGATGTGTGGTTTCCTTAGCTGAAACAATGTCCTTAAATACCTTTCAGCTGTGCTAATTAGCATGTTCACAGCTGAAGGTAATTTGATTTTACCAGCTGAAACCTTATTAGCTGGTTATGATTGAGAAAACAAAAAAAACAAACATTTGATTTCATGCCTTTATTTGAGAACCATTTATAATAGCTTATCTTTGAGTCTCATAAATATATATATGTACATGACAGATGGGCTTCAACTCAAGATGTCATTAACAGAATCTATATCTGACCAATTTAAGTAAAAACAAAAAAAAAATAAACAGCCCTTTTTCTTTGTCACACAAATATTCATATGTTTCTTATTGAGATATTGCGGTAGCTCCTCATTTTTTCAGTTTCCCATCTTCTTTCATCTTCCACTGCATAAGCTCCATGCAGGCAGATGCATCTTCCTCAGTGTTGTGGCCACAAACTGGGAGAAATAGTGGCAGATGGATTTAACTAGCATTTTGTTGCAGTTTTAATATTCACTCCATTTGTATTGTTTCAGATTAATGTGGTCGTAATGGCTTGAAATAAATAAATATATGAGACTTTCTTATAAAGGTGGTAACCCACCACTCTCTTGAATAATCCTCCTGAGGTATTCAGCTGTGAGACTGTTGAGGCTCAGCTTGTTAGGTGGTCCTAGACGATGAGGGAAGACCACCGAAGTGTCTACCACCAACCCATGAAGCAACTACAGAGGGGGAAAAAACAATGAAGGCTGCTGTCAAACCCTTCATAGTTTATGTTCCACACTGAACCCCGCATAAGAAAACTGGTAAAGGTGAATTAAAGTTAAAAACAATACAGAAATCTAAAATGTCAGTTATCCAATGACCCTGTTAAAAGACACAGGGATGCTGCTGTGTATGCAACTGGCTTTTCAGTAGTTTGTGCCCCCACCACAAAATACGTTTAATAAAATGGTGTTTGATGGTTTTGTAGTATTGATTGTAGTCTATTATAAAACTGTACATTAAAAGAATGACATCTCTGAAATAATAGGAAGAAAAAAAAAGTATAAACAGAAATTGCAGCTATAAGAACTGGAACAGTAAATTTATGTGAATAAAATACAAATTACAGATAAGAAGGTAATTTAAAGGCAAATATATTCAAGATTTGCCTTACAAGGAGCAGGAGTGCTCTAATCGAAGCCCTCATTTCACATGTCGGGTAAAAAAAAAAAAAAAACTACAATCACCTTGAGTAAACAAAGGTCTGTTTCCAGGCCATGTCCAACCAGAATAGTGTCTGCAGTGATGAAGCTCAACAAAGTCTCCTGGACCTCCCTGAGGGAGGGATGGTTACCTTTCACATCTTCCTCACTGATTCCTGAAAACCTAAAGACATTTCAGGAAAGGAACTTCATAAAAATAAGAGTTGTGAAGATCAGAAATAGTTATATTGCCAAAAGTAGTTGTATTTGTAAAGTATTTGTCTACTTTTGTGTATTTGAAGACAGCCTGTTCTTCATCTGTAGTGTCAGTTTGTCTGTACACACCCAGATTCTGCACGCCAGATTTTATTCAAAAACCACGGTACTACTAGAAGATCCAAGTGATTGATTTGGTGGCAAAATTGAATTAACCTAAAATTAACTAAAAAAATATTAAAGCCTACAGCTCCTGTCCCCCATCGCAAATTAAACATCAAATTCTCCCATCAAATGTGGGAAACTGCCATATTTTAAAGTAGTTTTCATTTTATCACCATAGTTGTGTTGACTAGGACTAATACATAATTACATATACATAATTATCAATACATAATATGTAACTGGGATTGGTCCAGACAGTGTCCCGATTTGAATTTGGTGGATCGGTGTGGAGGGAATTTAAGATTAGGGTGATTGTAAACCCTAACCCTAGGTCTTCCAACACTAAAGAAGAGTTCACCACCAATGATGCAGTCCACTGAAAGAAAATAATATTACTGGAAAGTGAATCTAATTATTCATCAATTCTTAAAGATCTTTATCAGTTATGAAGAAGCATGATGATATTCAATGCCATTTTTAGCAATATAAAAATGTATAAAAAAAACAAAAACAAATTTATTTTCTAGTCTTAAAGACTTTAGCTTTAAAATGTCACCTTTTGAGAAACATTTCTTATCAGAAAACTGTACATTTCAAAAGATAAATGTAAAATCTTTTGACGGGTGTTAACCTCATGAGCTGCACACACAAACTGAGCCAGAGAAGTGTTACCTGGTGTTATAGTCGACGACCTCATTATCAGGTCTGACAAAGGTGTCGTAGACGACCTGAAGGTTGGAGTTGATCACCGTCACTCTGGACAGCTCCAGCCCTTGAACAGTGTAACACTGTAGACATTCATAGACAGTCACACAACATTTCATTACAAACGTACATTTTAGAAATCAACTCGTTATAAGATATTAATTAATACCATTTCACAATCCAGGGAATAAACTCCAGGACAGCTCATGTCTGAGGGACATCTGGGTGCAGTAGATACAAACCCATCCAAGCTGAGAAAATCATGGACATGCAACTGGGTGAGAAAAAAAAAAATGTATACACATGTAAATATCAAAGTCTTGTTGGCACAGTTTAATAGTTCAATGTGTAGGATTGCTGTTTTTGACGGTATAGTTCACAGAATGTGTTCGCCACCTTAAACATTTGACATCCAGGAGCTCCCATGACTCCCTGACAGCAGCTGTAGCGAGTTTCCACTCCCCCTGGAACTGCAAAACACAAATACTATGTATTAATTATTTTTCCTCCCATTACAGTCATTCAATCTCAATCCCTGTGAAACATTTCATGTGCTGGCTGACCTCTGTTGGTAACTCCTTTCCCATAGTGGTAGTTGCACTCCTCTTTTCGGAGGTGTTTGCCTGTTTGATTGACAGCGTACGTGGCCCCGCATCGACAGCAGATCCTTTTAAGGGCTATTTAACGCAGCAATGGGTTAATTGAAAAGATAAAGCTGAAGCTCAACACAAGTACATTAGTCGAATACGCCCTCTAGTGGCCCAGGAGGAGAAAAACAGGTAATAAGGCCAAGCTGCATGGTTCTACTTACGGTCTGTGCTCACTTTCTTCTCAGAAAAAAGAACAGCAGAACTTGCTTTTTCTGGGTGCTGGATAGGATAGTTGTTTTCTATCATTTGTTCATCAGTCAAAGTATAACCCTTGAAAATTTCATACAACGCCATATCACCTGCTAATAAAACAAAAATAAATAAACCTCAGCAGCAATTTCTTGTTTATTTTTATATATTAAAAAAATTCATTAACGTTTTCTCACCATTTTCTTTCATCTTTTTTCGGATAAATGGGATGTTGCCTTTTGGTTTTTGATTCTGGACCTGTTTTTCATCTGCATCACAATAAGTAGATTAGGATTTAACTTAACTGAATGTTGCATTTAGAGCGGAGACAAACGGATTAAGAGATTATACTCCATTTAATGATAAATCCATTACTAAATAATTTCAATAGAGACTAAAACAAGCCTTAAGCTGATAAAGAAACACACTTAGAGTAGTATTTATACCAACACTGTAAAAAAAATAAAATCACATTAACATTTTGTATTTAAAATTAAAAAATACTTTCATCTGTCAATATGCTCGATCCAGAACTCCTCGAGTGGTAACGTTTTAGTTTCACCTGGTTTAAATTCTTCAAAAATAGAGTTTAAAAAAAAACCTTCTGCTATCCGATTATTAATCGATAAAAAAAAAAAAATAATAATAATAATAATTTACTTATTTGCCAAAATGAATATTAGTTGCAGGTCTAGTTGCATGGAGTCATGACTTTTCTTCCTACTTTTAGCAGAAGCACTTTGGTTCTTCAGTCTTTTGAGGGCGTTCACCGCAACGCTGAGATATTTGAGTTTGTTCACACTGCGGTTGTACACGCTCTTCTCCTCAGTTAGGGCCTGTAATCAGTAGCAACGGGATGAAGAATGAATAGTCATCCTTTCAGTCAGTGGGAGACATCTGGAAGCAGGAGATGCTCACCTTCTCAAAAGCCTCATTGACATCAGCTGTGGTTTTAAGGAGCTCCTCTGTGAACATGTTCACGTACCGCTGACGGACATCGTGGGGAACTTTCTCTTTTGCCGTTTCACTTTGCTGCTTCAACTTCCTTTTCACTGGCAGAGGCTGAAATCAGAATTACTTTATTAATCCCTTGCAGGACTTTCTTTTCTTTCCATGCAACCATTTACAAAAGTCATAAGGCAGAATAAAAATCAGTAAAATTTTTATGCACACAGTAAAATTACCCCCTTCCCATATAAACAGTGGAAAATAAAATATAGGAATTAAATAAGGATCTCAGTATATACAATCAACAATATTTACAATTCTGTTCAGTACCTAAATTACTATTATTGCACATGACCATGTCATTGCATATAGTGAAGTAAGGAAGGAATATTAATTACATAATAAATAATTACAGCGCAATGAGAAGCATTTGTTCCCATTTCAGATTTATTCCGTTTGTAAGTTTAAGTAACATACAACTTCTCAGATCAATTACGACATATTATCAATTATAATTGCATTTTTTACTCCTGTTTTGAAACAAAAAGAGGAATATATCCAGACCAACCTGGCTCTAGGCAGAAAGCCAAAATGGTTCAAGTTGTTCATCGTTCACCGCAATTTACTACAGGTTCTGGAAAGATCTGTTAAATTTCCTACATCCAAATGTTTACAAAGTCAGCTGGAAGTCTTTGGGACTCTTGCAAACCACAGTAAGGGTGATGATATAAAACATAGAAGAGTGGCGAGTCTTCCCAGGGACGACCAACAAACCAAAATCACTCAAAGAGAGCATCACTAACTTATTCAGAAAGCACAAAAATAATGGAATACATGTAATGTAGGGCTGCTGCGTGGCACTATGCAGGAGCATCACCCTCCTGGATGCAATGAATGAATCCAATGAGGTTCTTTTGATTGTTAAATATATATTGATCTTGCGCTCTCCATGTGTTGATTACATTTGCAGGGTTACTTTCCACTCAACCAGAAGTTCGCATACTTGCTGCAAGACAGTGATTTAAAAAACAAAAAACAAAAAAAAAAAACAGAAAAATTATGACGTTCAAAAACGGTGTTTCCACTGCAATTCGCACACCTGCTGAAAGGTTGGCCGTCACTATTTGATCCTTTGACGCCACCGACTGTCACTTTCAGGTATAACACCAAACAAATTAACATGAACTCCAGAAATATGGCCAAAATAAAACCACAGCTATACAAGACCTTTGATCCATTAAAAACATGATAAACAATCAAACAAAGAAGAAGTAAAGAGCAGGAGCCGAATGAGGTCTGGAGGAATTCCTCTCTATAGCAGACAATCCTGAAGGAGGACTTGGAATTAGGGCTGCAACTAACAATTATTTTGTAAAGTGATTAATCTGTGCATTATTTTTTTGATTAATCGATCAATAATCGAAAAGCTAAATGTTCCTTAAAGAAAACTTTTTACTAAGTTTAACCAGGTTAAACTCAAGCTTTTCCACTTGAGGTGTTCTGGATAGAACATATTGACAAACAAAACAGATTTTTATGTTAAATGCAAAATGTTTACAATTTTTTTTGTTTGTTTTTGGTATAATTACTGCTCTAAATGGGTTGCTCTGACAGCTAAAGGCATGCGTCTCTAAACTCCATTTAACGATTAATCGATTACTGTATTAGTTGAGGATTATTTCAATAGTCGATTAATCTGATTGTTTCGGCCCTATTTGGAATATTACAGCAGAACGAGGACCTAAAACAAACCAGCAATCCAACCTCTAAACTGAACTAAAAAAAAAAAAATGGCTTAAAGTCTGGGGGTTAAATCTGATCAAAATGCTGTTACATGACCTTAAGACTAGGGCTGAAACAATTATTCAGATTAATTGTGATTATTTTAATATATTGATTTAGTAAAAGATTAATCGTTAACTGGAGTATCGAGCTTCTAAAACATGTCTTTTGCTGAAAGAGCAACCCAGCAGTAATTATACCAAGATTGCAAAGAAATATGAACATTTTGCATTCAAGATAAAAAATAAAATATATACTTTTTCATCTATGAATATGCTCCATCCAGAACTCCTAAAGTGAAATAGTTTCAGTTTCACCTGGTTTAATTTTGTTAAAAAATTTCTTTAAGGAACCTTTTGCTATGCGATTATTAAATAATGAATCTAAAAACTTTTCTGAGAGATTAATCAATTTGCAAAAAAGTAATTAGTGCAGCCTTACTTAAGACCCAATCATTAATACTTAATTTTTAGTCACTGACAATCTAAAGAATGAATAAAGAAGCTCAACTCAAAAAGTCAGAAATCTGACTAGCTTAGAACAATTCCTTAGAGTGGAATCATTCGTTGTCCTCCACACTCAAACCATTTCCTATTTTCACAAACCAATCAACTTTGCTTGGGAAAATCAGGGGGATTCTGAAAGCTCTTCTACCTTAACAGCTGCTTGGCCAGCAGCTTGAGAAGTTGTGGAGGCTCCAACTGCTGCCTGCACAGAGGTCGATGCCAAAGCAGAGCAGAGTGCAGGTCGTCGTGCTGGAGCAGCAATGAGCACAGGCACAGTGGAGCGATGTCTTGGCAAAGGAGTCACTGCAGCAGGAGCGCTAGTTTGTTTGACTGTGCCAGGGTTTGGATGAACCCGGCTCACTGGAGTCAGCACAGAAGTAACTGGGCTGGAAGTGGAGGAGACAGAGAGAGGGAAGCTGCCCTGCGGGAGGATCAGGTGCACGTTGTTGCCCACTTCAATGACTGCAGTTCCAATGGGGATGAAGTTCACACAAGCTGAGGATCGAGACAAAAATGCAACAGATCGGAGACATTGAAGAACAAATAAAAAAAAAAAAAACTTTCATTTTACTGTTAATATTCCTAGTGAAATAACTCCCAGAAGTTTCCTCAGAGGCGAACCATTTGGCGCCGGGGAAGGCTGAAGGTTTTTCAGGGTTGAAGCTGAAGCTGCCATCTGTGTGTCTTTTTTCTGGCTCCCAGAAGACAGAATATTCTGAGCGATTTTAACCGGGACAGACGGTATCGAGGCTCTGTGCTGAAGCTGCTGGGTCTTAGAAGCGACGGTAGCCCGGGAGTTCAACCCTGCAGCCGACGGCTCCCGCAGAGGAACCAGAATCTGAGGCTGAGGTCTCGTCTTAGCCAGCGGCTGCTGATTTGACAACGAGAAAAAAGATTCAAAGCCAAAGCTGTGACGATATATATTAGTGAGATTTGTGGAAGTTTTACCTCTAGGTTCTTAGCTTCATGAGCAACTCTCTTTTTCCCTGTGAAACTCTGGCCTGCAGCTTTAACTTCTGGTTTCTCAACATCCATGCCAACCGTCATCTGAAACAGTCAGAGGAAATCAGAACATCTTTGAGCTGCAAACTAAACCATCACTTTGATATACTTACAGAAGTGCTACCCTGCTCCTCGTTTCCTCTTTCCTCGCCATTTGCCTCCATGAAGATCCTGTAGCATTCCTCCATCGGGTCGCTATCAGACAGCTCCATCTCTAAGTAATCCAGCTCGTCCTCCTCAGCGCTGGAGTTTATTACTATCACTGCTTCATCCTCCTCCTGTTGAAGCTGTTCTGTGGGGTCAGATGAATCAGCTCTGCCATTGGGATTTACTGATGCAACATCAGGAGACCAGATCTGGCTATTGCCTGGTCCTCCATCTGTTTGCTGCAGGTTTGTTTTCTCCGCCATTTTTCCATGAGCTGCAGCGTCCGACTGCGCACTTTGCGTATGAGGGTCGTGGCTCTGAACCTCTGTCACCAAGGCTTGCTTGGCTGAGTCTGGATCTGGTTGCTTACGAAAAAGGGAACAATGCAGCTGTGGATTATATTTCACAGCATTAGAGATCAGTTTAATCTGAGGGGTACTCAAGTGATCTGAGGTGGTGGAAAAACTTTGGGATTCGTTTATTTTGGTTGGCATCTCAGGGGACCGTAGACCAGGGTTTTCACGTCCTCTTTCAAGCTCTACCAGACATCCGGTTAAATTAAACCCACTCCTATCATTGCTGTAATCTTTGGCTTTTTCAGAAGCAGATGAGACTAGATTGCTCTCTATTAAACAACAATCAGGCTCTTTGTTTACATTGTCGCTGGAGGTGGATGAGGAAGTAGCATTTACCACCTGAGGAGTTATTTTCTGCGGTGAGGAATCTAGAAGAACATTATGGGTTTTAATCTCCTTCCTGGCTCTCTCTGTTCCCTCGGAGGATGTCTCTGATGCCACGTCAGCGGCGGCATTTGGAGTTTGATCACTAGTTTTGTCTGGAGATAAAGAAACATCAATAACCAGGACACCATCTTCAAAAGAGTCATCAAGGTCTGGCGGAGATGAAGGTCGGTTGAGCTGGGCTTGATGAGTATTCGGCTTCTCCACAGATCTCGAGCTCCTTCCATCTTGTCGGTTTTTCACTTTTCCTGATGAGCTGTAAGACCGCAAGGCGGCAGAAAAGTTGGAGAGCGGATCATACTCTAAATCAGTCCTTGGCTTTGAGCTGTCCACCACATACTTCATTGCCTGCACACTGGATTTATGTCCTTTGCTTGAAGAAAGTCCACAGGAAACGCTGGCCACACATTTTGTTGGAGGTTTATTGCCGCTTCTGTCCGTCCGGTTGGTCTGATAGCATGAGAGGCGGCGCTGCTCCTGTTCCACTTCGTGCCTTGCAGTTTCAATCTCCTTTTCCAGTCTTTGCAGCTCATGCAGGGAGTCTGCGTTTACTGGTCTGAAGCGGTTGCCATACAGATTTCCTGTTTGCAACAGGGGGGAAAAAAATAAGCAGGCATACATTTTAATTCCTCATTGGAAATGAAATGCACTCTGAAATATTTACATCCCATAAAGAGATCTTAATGCAAAAACTACCACAAAAAAAATGCTTAACCTTAAATGAACTACTGGTACTGCAGTCTTTTATCAAATGAAAATAAGATTAAACTTCTGGTTTCTTTCCTTCACAAAAAGGGAATAAAGTGCATCAATGATGCTGCAGGCAAATGCATCTTCCATAGGAGGTCTGGATGTTGGCATCATTATTCACAGACATACCAGGATAAATCAAAATTAGAACTATGATGATCTCTGACAGTAAGCTAGAACTGGGTCACAACTGGATTACTCAACAAGGAAATCTAAAATATATGGTTGCAAAAAGACAGAACCGGTCAACAGCAAAAAAAAAAAAAAAAAAAAAAAAAAAAAAAAACTACCTTATCCTCTCCCTAAATCCTGAGGAAATCTTGTGCTAAAGAGAATAAAGCCTAAAGGCAATCTGGATGGTCAGAGATATCAATAATCTTCAGATTATTATTGCAAATATCTCTTAGATCCACAGTATCGAAATCTGAAACATTTTTTCCAATTATTGGGAGTGAAATCATTAGACTGCATTAAAAGATCAAATATATATTATTCACTTAGTTAATCACTTTTAAAAGATAGTAACGTGCGACTATAAAACATTTGAATATTTAAAAAAAAGAGTTTGTGCTTGATGAGCAAAACGTCTAAAATTGTGAATTTATGCGATTTGACTTTACAATTCTTCCCTAATTAATTTCAGGGCTACAAAAAATGCTTAAACACGTGCCAAGACCTCGTATAAGGCAGGTGTTTTATTTATTTTATGCAATATTCGCTTACTCACATTATACTGAACGATAGCAAAGTTAACATGACAGCACACCTGAACCACTAACCTGTTAGATCCGCTGTGGTTGATTTAGACACGCCACCAAACGTCCCCCTCGCTTCTGTGGCATGTTTGTACAAACAATGAGGTCTCTCACAGAGCCCGTGTCGTGAAAAGGGGCAGTTTATATTAATAAAAAGACCAGAGGATGGAAACATGGCAGAAAACAAAAGAAATGTTAAACTAGATTGATGGCAGGCCTCCAACGGGCGGATATGAACTCCTCAACTGCGCTCCGCCTCCAACTTTGGTAACCCATTTATATAGGCTTCTCCACCTTTAAACAGAACACGACAAGGGCTAAAAACTTTAATTACTAGACAAGCAATTATATTAAATTAACGTAATGTATTTATCAGAAGGTATACTTATTTTTGGTTAATCAATTATCACAATTTACATACTTCCTATCCTAACCTGTTTAAGTTTACCATTCGGAAGTAATTCCTCCGTTCCTCTAGATGGCAATGTGGCATAACACCGAATTGGAAAGTACCTACAGAAGTCAAGGAAGTCGCCATATTGTGAGTGGAAAAGTTCAGTACGTAAAGCTGTACAACTCAACTAAATTACTCAACTACTTTATTTAAAGTTACTATCAGATTCCTATCTGCAGTAAAAGAAGACAAACACCTTGATAAAAAAAATTTTTAGCATGGAGAATAGAAATAAGATTTAAATAAGCTTTAGGTGAAGTTACGTAATTCAACACAAGTTTTTTTTACTCTAAGACGATTATATACATATGTAAAACAGTATTATAATTATTATAATAGTAATTAGGATTATCATTGTTATTATTATTATTAGGCCTATTGTTGGATCTTTTTTTTTTTTTTTTTTTTTTTTTTTAACAAACATTTAATTTCATCCTAGGGGAGAGAGAGCAAGCTCGGCCCTGCTGTCTTAGGGAGTGGCAGCTTACAGATCAACATATGGAGATCCGTTTCATTTAATAATGAAAAAATTTAATTAATGTGGAAGTAAATAACTATATTTTGAGATAAATTAAATTAAGATAAGATGAAATAATGCCTTTAATTTGTATTTTGTTTTATTTAATCCTGACATTTATTTAATAGAATATTTATTTATAATGTATCAATAGCAACCTTTATTTATTCATCCATGTATTTTGCTGGTGAAGATTCTCATTCATCCAGGTCATAATCATTCTAAAAAAAAAGTTTAAAAGTAAAAAAAACTAAAAAAAAATAAATAAATAAATAAATAATAATAATAATAATAATAATAAACAACTTTCAAACCTGGAAAACAAAGTCCATTGGTATGTTTTTACACTTTTTAAAAGTTTTTTTCTGAATTTATCCCTTTGTTTGTATATTTTTTTTAATGAAACGGCTTTTAATATTTTTATATTTTAAGTTTGAGAAAAAAAATTATAAAGTGACATTATTCAGTGATTTATAGTGTCAAACGAGAATGTTCTACCTACATACGTAAACATTTTTCTTTTTATCAATGATTTTTTGAGTGTTGTTTATATATATTTAATTACTACAGAGAAATCTTTCGAACATGATCATGTTGCACACCTTATTTATCATTTATCAGCAACGACATGCCACTCACAACATGGCGGCGACTTAAACGTACGATCCCGGATACTTATGCAGACTCCTCTGTCTGAAGAGTGAACAGTGAACGCCTTCAGGTTGACACTGTGGTGTTCCAGAGTAAACTTTTGTCTTTTTTGACATGGACATCAGCGAAAGTGAGATGGAGGAAGATGAGAGCGAGTGGAAAACTTGCTTCATGGATCTAGCTGCGCTCTGCCCCGCTACCTCTGCAGCTGCAGCTTCTGGTAAAACTCTCAAGTCTGACACCATTAACTCACGTTCACCAGCAGCTATGATAAATATTGGATTTAATTGTTTTTTGTTTTCTTGCTTTTTATTCCAGAGTCAACCATCAAAACTCCCGAATCTGCACAAAAAGTTATTTTGCATTTTGACCTTGATTGCTTTTATGCTCAAGTAGAAATGATCAGAAATCCAGCTCTAAGAGATGTTCCTTTAGGTAAGTTATACAGAAAATGGAAATCAGGGTGATGATTAAGACCTCTTTCTATGTCATCCATCTATCTATGTCTCCACAGGTATACAGCAGAAATACATCATAGTCACCTGTAACTATGTGGCCAGGGAGCAGGGCGTCACCAAGCTGATGTCTGTGACTGATGCTAAGGAGAAATGTCCTAAACTGGTGCTGGTGAAAGGAGAAGACCTGACACACTACAGAGAAATGTCCTACAAAGTCACAGGTCAGCCTGGGGATTATTACTCCTTAATGTGGCTTGTTAAAAAAAAAAGATGAAGCAAAAGTGGGAAAGATGTAGAAGACAAATTCCATCCCATGATGCGCAATTTGATTTAATAAATAAACAATATTTCATACAGCTTATTTACTCTTTACATTGTTTTATGGATATATTTTGCCATAAATAAAACCCCATATTTTTAAGCATTTTTTCCCCATTACTGAATACAATGTTTGCTTTCACTGCATATACATATATTTAGTCCAAACCAGCTCTATGAACACTTAAGTCTTCTCTTATCAGCTATGTAAGAGTAGATGTTCTCACTCTGAAAGTTGTAGGTTCAAAACCATCTTCCTCCTGTCATGTGTCGATGTGCCACTGGGCAGTGCACTTAACCCTAAGATCTATGCAATCTGCATATATGTGTATGATATGAGCTGGTGAATGTTGCTCCACCATGAGGCTCTTTGATTGGTCACTATTTCACTATTTACTACACTATTTGCCATTGATAAAAAAAAAATCTGATGTTTGATGGTTATCCAGTTTAGGCCAGTTTTCAGCCTTCCTAACAGCAGAAGCTGCCTATAAATTGCCCTGTGGAGGCAAAACAAGCCCAAATTTTGGCCCTCCACCACTGTGCTGTAACAGTAAGGGTATTTGCTGTATAATTCCCAGCACAGTACTTAGTGATATTGTTTAGGGATAGGATAAAAGTTTCTATAAGAATGATAAAGATTCAATATTGTTTTTGCTTTTAAATCTATAACTGAATTCAAGTGAAGTAGCGACACTATTTAATCATTTTTATTAGATATTTCCTGATTTTATTTGTACAGGTAACATTATGTACGGTGTTGCCCTTCCCTATGTAATGAGAAAAGTGTGTGCAGATTTTTTATTTATTTATTTTTTGTTCCTACAAACATGACCCTGTTCAATATGCTTAAACATCTCTATTTTAGTCCAATTTATAGTCCAAGAGCCTTGTGGTTCATTTCGATGTAACTCTGAATACTTAAGTTGTGCTGCCATACCCATTTTATAGAAAAGAACATTGCAAAGGAATTAAGCAATTTTCTGGTTCTGTTGTTGTAATTGTTTACATCTAAGAAGCTAAAGAAGCCAGTAGAGTCTGGGTCAGTTGCCCAGGGCAGCATTAGAAAGGAGAAGAGGGGGCAAGGGGGTAAAAACACAATATGAGAAATGTTTTTCTATTTATTTTTTCTTCTTTTTTAGCATTGGGGAGTTCACCTTGCTTCTTGCTGGTAATGGGTCAACTGTTTTATTTGGGCATTTAATGCATTTAACCGACCCACAAATTTTGTTTGATTCTGATTGAATCCAGGTTGCTGAAGAAAGATGGCTTCTGGCTTTTTAATAAATTATCTATATATAAAAACAATTATATTATGAAGTCTATAATTCCTAAAGCTAGAAATTAACAGAGCAATATGGAATGATAGCAAGTAAGCAAGCAAAGTTTTTCAAATATATCTTTTCATGAGTTGCAAAACAGAAAAGTGTCTGAATTGTTTATAAATTGCTAATGAGGTTTTGATTTTCTGTAGAAACACTCTGGGTTTAACATTTATTTGCTTACCTTGCCTAACTCCTTCCTGTCCACCCTCCAGAGGTCCTATTGTCGTATTGTCCTCTGGTAGAAAGGCTTGGATTTGATGAAAACTTTGTGGACGTAACAGAGTTGGTTGAACAGAGGCTTGCCCAGACATCACAGCCGGACAGCCTTTCATTTAAAGGACATGTCTTCAATCATTCCAGTAAGTTAAGAGATCTGCTTCTGCTTTGTAGATGAACATCTGGATCACTGAAACTGGCTTTTGAAAGAGCCACGATGCTAAGATTTGTAAAACATTTGCCTGGTTGTTTCAGTTTCACACCTGCAAGTTCTAGATCTGGCTGCAGAGCTCTCCCTCGTGTTTCTGCTTTTTTCCCCTGCACAGGTGCAGATGTTAAAGGCAGCGACCACCCGGGGCTGGCCATAGGTTCACACATTGCAGCAGAGCTAAGAGAGGCTATCCATAGCAAGCTCGGCTTGACCGGTTGTGCTGGCGTCGCCACAAACAAGCTGCTTGCCAAACTGGTTTCAGGCACCTTCAAACCAAACCAGCAGACTGTTTTACTGCAGGAGAACATCGGGGATATCATGGGCTGTCTGAGTGGCCTCAGAAAAGTACCTGGTACCCATTCGACACTCTTCAGAGCTAGATTAACTTACTCCAATGTGGAAAGAGTTTATTATTTTTGTTTTTATACAAGAAAATAGTACCGTTTCCAAATATAGGCAATAAAATAATATTATTGCCTCTTTCTTTGTTTTCTTTTATGTCTCTCAGGCGTTGGCCACCAAACTGCAAAGAGACTTCAAGCTTTAGGATTAATGAGTGTAAAAGACTTGCAGATCTATCCACTGAATGACTTAGCGAAGGAGTTTGGGGGCGGCACAGCCCAGCGCTTAAAAAACCTGTCCCTGGGCATTGATGACTCAGCCGTCACGCCCACTGGGGCCCCTCAGGTGGGACTTGGGTGTTTCAGTAATTATATAATCCTATAAACAAAAAGAACAAAAACATCTCTTGCTATTTTAGTGGTTTAGTCCTGTGTTCATATAGCTAAGAATATTCTTATTGGATGTAAAGAAAAATTATAGTTTATTTTCAACATTGTTCATTTAAACTGTTTTTATTGGTTTTACATACTGGTGTCTGTGTTCCAGTCTCTCAGTGATGAAGACTCCTTTAAGAAAATGTGTTCAGTGAAGGAAGTTATGGAAAAGATTCATGAGCTCCTCATCAGTCTGGTGGAGAGGTCTGACTGAATTCAGCATCTTATTACTGAGTCTCTAGAATAGTATGTTTTTCTTGTAAATTCAGTTTTTTTGTTTAAAATCCAGGATGCACAAAGATGGCCGGCAGCCTCAAACCTTCAGGCTGACAATACGAAAATACTCGGCGACCAACAAGTGGTTTAGTCGGGAGAGCCGCCAGTGTCCGATCCCAGGCAGCACCGGACAGAAGATCCTCTCTGGTACGCTGGTGTTCAGAAAAAGAATAAGAAAAAAATATTTTAACTTTTAACTAAAGTTTTAAAGATGTGCAAACTAAAACAAAATTTTTTTTATGTGAACCACTCTAACCCTAGATATCCCAGGGCACTTTTTCTCATAACAAATAATATTTTATTAAAGGATTTTAATATTTAATTTCTAAACAAGCCAAATTATGGTTTTCCAATTGGTTTTCAGATCTTTTGCTTGCTTCATGTTGTCTGACTGGTTCTAAAATTAGTTTTACAGGTTGGAAGTAATGGGCTCTATGCATAACTTCACTACTTCCTGAACTTAAGGCAGCTCTTCGTTTCCTGTCTTTCATTACTGGATGAACTCATTAAATCAGGAGTGCCTGACATCAGTAACCATGGCCAGACACTCCTGGATTAATCAGTTCATCCAGTAATGAAAGACAGAAAACAAAGAGCTCCCTTAAGTTCAAGAAGTAGTGGAGTTGTGCAAACTATAGAGGCCATTAGGCCAGGAGGTGATTGGTGAAACTGAACCAAATTTAATAACATACGATTGAACAAGAGAAGGGATCAGAATTTCAAACATTGAGTCAAGGTGGTTTAAATGGTTTTTTCTTCTCCCTTTAATTGAAGTTAGTATTGTAATGCAACATTTTGACATTAACTGTGTTAGCAGTGGCGGCTGGTGAAAAATATTTTTGGTGGGGCTGATATAGCCTAGTGTATGTCTCCAACTAATCCGGAATAAGAATTCAAATAAACAATTGCAAATGAAATACAATTTAACAGTAATGATTTAATTTACTATATAATAACAGTAACAGTGATGATTTGGGTCACTGTGACGGGGTTCTTTGGCCTCCAAGAATCCAGGCTCAGTCGGGTTACCGGTGTTCGTGATTTATTGTGCTCAAAAACTCAAAACAGGGTGCAAAAGAAACTAAACATGTACAAGATACTCTGGGCCTCAGCCTCCCTCCAGTTACCAGCAATGTAACATTGAAACAGAAAACAAAAATTGCCGATTTTCTTCCCACAGCCCTCATTAAATAGTTTAAGCCCCTACAGGCTCTCTTATTTCTGATTTCTTCTCATTAATCAGTTTTGTCCATATATTACCTCCACAAACAATTGATGTACAAAAACAAATAATTTTTACAACTTAATTCTTTTACACAGATTCATTGACTTATTCAATTACACCAAACTGGGTTTGAACCCAGCAAAGACGCAGCCAGACTGAAGATGACAAGTCCCCATAGCATAAACACGTACACACCCACACCCCCCACACACCCACACACGGCTAACCCCACTGAAATATTAAGTGTGCACCCTCAATACGCCAGCAGGTAACCAGGACAGCTTGTGTGTTTTAAGTTCATGGAGCTACTGGGCTCAGCGCGAGCGTATTGGTCCTCACTAGTGTTAATTTTTAAATTTAGTTTTAGTCTTAGTCCAGTTTCAGCATCGTTTGTTAGTTTTTATCACATTTAGTCGACATCATCGCATTTTTATTTAGTCTAGTTTTAGTCGACTATAGGTCAAGCATTTTAGTCTTTATTTTAGTCCAAGAAAACATAATTTTATTAGTTTAGTTTTAGTCAACAAAAACTGTCAACATTTTAGTCTAGTTTTAGTCAGGACATAATTTGAACCTTTTACTTTTTTGTCAGCAGATAACGTTTAAGATTTTCTAAAATTATTTCAACATTTTCTCTCATCTTTTTGATAAAAACACAATTTTAAGGAACACATGCAGACATGGAAGATGTTCTGACAATATTTGCATTTTATTTTGAACATTGTTAAGGTTCAAAGACACAAACACAAATGCTTGCATTAAAACAAATAAAACACACCTGGCAAAGGAAACAAATAAATAAAATAAAGTGTCTTATGAACTTTACACAAGTGCTGGCTGTTTAAAGCTAGTTCACATAGAATAATAAAATAAATAGATTTGAGGTCAATGTTGTTAAAAAAACAAACAAAACTCCAACTGATACAACAAAAGTGCTTTCCTTCCAGCTTTAGCTGGCCTGTCATTGTTTCTGGGTGGCTGGTAGGTTGTTGTTGTTGTTGGTGGTGGTGTATCTTTAATCTGGAACAGAAATTAATAAAATGTCAGGATAGATGCACAGCATAACAGGAATTCCAAGTGTATAAGTAGCATATAGGTCTGTTTTTTTCCTTAACAAAAACTAAGTCTCTGTAAAAACTACATGTGACCATCCATTTCAAACTCATACAAACAACCTAACTATCATTTTATGCAGGAATAAATTGCAGACATTTTTATGTGTGCAAGCATTTTGGTTGTATTAATATTGATGCCAATTCAAATCAAATGTCCTTGTAATAGTAATATAAAGATAAACAGAGCAGCATTTTATGTCACCAAATAAAGACATCCCTGCAGTGGTTCCCCTAGCAATGGCTATTTTGTGTATGAAAATCTAGGTTAAAGTTGTTCTGAATTATATGTGGCATATTATTTTTATTTTGTCTTATCCTGATAAATAGTTTCAGTTCTTTTTAGCATTTAGCATACATGTGTAGCTGCCGAGTTGTTATGTGTTTAACTATAGTTCACTTGCAGCTCCTAGATTCCCTAAAATGTCTGTCTGCTTTAATCAAACTTGCAATTTAACTGAAACTATAGTTGCCCGGCCAGTATAACATATCTAAGTTAGCATAAATTTAACTTCACATACAATGCTATCAACAAGTGGCTACAGTCGCTACGTGCTAACAAGCTAACGTAACGTAGCCAGCCTGGATGCTAAATGCTATGAAAGTTAGCCAACATCAGTTAGTTTATCATTGGGACATTATAGCCGTTGATTTAATGTTACATTATAAACAACCACCACCAATCTTTCTGTTAACTTACCGTAATGTCTTTGTGGTGAACTGCGACGCGTCTCTTCAGGTTTGTTGTGTTTTTTCCAGCTATCATGTGGCCACATTCCTTCCCTTCCACTGAAATCAAGCATTTGGGTTTGTTCTCCACTTAAATGAAGCGAAAATGTGTCCATATAGCACGTCTCCTCTTTCTCCCGAGCCCCAGAGTAGGCTACTCTGTGCCGCCCGCTCCAGGTTTGAAAGTGGGTGTGTGGGAGCTGACGAGGAGGAGACGGAGGAGGAGACGAGACAGGATTTGAAAAAAACATAAAATAATAATATATATTTTTCGTCTCGTCTTTGTTCGTGAACTAAAATGTCCATAGATTTTAGTCCAGTCTTTATTTACCGAACTGCATTTTCGTCTCGTCTTTATTAGTCCACGAAAATTATTTCTGATTTAGTCCCAGTTATTGTTTATTAGTGGGGATTTTCGTCTCGTCTAGTTTTCGTTAGGTGAAAAATGTGCGTTGACGAAAATATTTTCGTTTAGTTTTCGTTAACGAAATTAACACTAGTCCTCACAAGCACAGTATAACAGGAATGTGTGTGTGGCGCGCAAAGTTAGAGAGGTTGTTTTAAGCGACGAGGTGGATTCGTCACAGTCACAATAACCATGACATGAAATGTTCATATCCTACAACAGGGATGTTCTTCTGGCAGACGGGTAGATAAATAAGGATCTCACCGAATTTGGTGGAAGCTGCATCTCGTTCGTTACATTTGCCATCTTCCCTCTAACTGTCTGCACCTGCGCTTGGGTTCAGAAGCCTGTTAAAGCGCAGTATTTTCAGCGCCCCAAGACCATAAAGTTCCGAGACGCTGATTGGCCATTAAATTCACCTAGCAATAGTACATGATTGACAGATTCTCTGCAAATGTGGGTCTGTCTGATCAGCGCCCCCAGAACAGAGACGGTAGGAGTCTGTCTGTGGAACTCCACAAATTAATGACAGTAGATAGGGAAATGTAGTTTATATATTTTTTTTTGCTTATAGGTACACACTCTAGAGAGTAAAACTGACATTTATGAGTTAATTTCTAAAAATATATTTTACGTTTCTCTCTTCTTATCAGGGAGGGCGGTGCCCCAGCGCCCCCTATGGGCCGGCCGCCACTGTGTGTTAGTAAATCTTTTGATACTTAGATACTTGAAAGTCATTTTATATATATTTTTCCCTTACAGCTCAGTGCTGTTATTAGCGATTTAAACTTTTTTTTACACTCATTAGTTTTCCATTCTCAATTTAATTAAAACTAGTTGGTCAGCACCACAGGGGGCTCTCACTATTTCCTTTTTACTCCTTACACCTCTGACTTCCAGCACCAGAAAGAGTCCTGTCATCTGCAGAAATAGTCAGATGACTCTGCAGTCAAATATGGTGCATCAAATATCGACAAGAAGCTGAGTACAGGGAGCTGGTGAAGCGCTTTGTGGCATGGAAACAATTATCTGATCCTGAATGTCAACAAAACAAGGGAAAATGTTGCAGATTTTAGAAGAAACAGGGAAAATTATTGAGAAAAGTTTAGTTCCCTCCGTTTTTGAAGCAGGATGATGGATATCTTCTATAAGTCTGTAGTGGAGAGTGGGATCTCTTCTGCCATCATCTGCTGGGTAACAACATCAGAGCAAATTACTTTAAAAATAAAGACAGCGATTAGCCTGCAACTATTAAGATCTAACATAGCTTATTTAAATAAATAAAAAACAAATAAGTTACTACAAAATGTAATTTTCCTTTTGGATAAATAAAGTGTTATTGAATTAAGTAGATGTTTTTCCTTTCCTTTGGGGTGGAGGTTAGAAATACTATCAAGAGACTGGCAGCATATCATATTTCCATTCTATACAAAACAATGGCCTTTAACAATTATGTATATATATTTAACTAAAAATGTTCCTTATTTCCCTCCTTAGGGAACACTGATGACTCTGTGTCCCAGCTGCTCCCACTGGCTGTGAAGCTTTTCCATAAGATGGTGGACTGCAGCGCTGCCTTTCATCTCACACTCATTAACGTCTGCTTCAGTAATCTGAGCAAAGGGCCTGCTGTGAGCGTGAAGGGCTCCATAACATCATTCCTCACCCAGAACTCATCACCCAGAAAATGCCAGGTATCATTCTCACAAAACCAGGTAATCCTGTCTTATATCTTAACCTCATTTAGGTTTTTATATCTTTGGCTATATTTTAAAACCAAATATTTGAGTAAATCTTTATCTTTTTGTTATCAACGAGCATCTTGCGTAACGTTGGGTAATGATATGTCTATTCTTCCCATCTGATATAATCTAGGTTTGTTTAATAATTCATACTTTTTAATAGGATTTTGTTTTAAAAAATGGAAAGGTGCAGCTTTTCTGTTTCCTAACTACCAGGGAACGGAAGTTCAAGTTGGAAAGTAAAGAAGAAGGGGCTAACTTTCATTTAGCACAGTAAAATGCTAGCAGCAGGCCCGACTGAGAACAAACCTCTCAAATTCACACGTTTTATAGTGGAGAATTTTCGCACATTTTTAAAAAGACCTGCCCTCTCCACTTAAAAAAAAAAGGAACATGCACAACCCTGTACCCACTCCCAATAGGGAACGTCTATTATACGTGTGCGAGAGCATGTACAAGCCAATTTCCCCTCGTGCAAGCTCTGTTTAAAACTTTGTTTTCGCATCGCTCATACAAGCTTACTTTCCAAAAGATTTGCAATTTTTCCACTATGTCAGACTCACCACTGGTAAGTAAAAATGGGGACGAGCATGATTGACAACTAGGAGGACAACTTATTTTGATGATCCACCGAGAAAAAGAACATCCTCCACTATACCTTTAAGGCCTGAACACACTGGCTGTGTACAACTTTTTAATCTCCGATCCGATTTTTTTATTTATAGTGAGGCTCCATCTGTGCAGGGTGGGCAGATTTTTTTTCTTCTTTTCACTTCTGTCTCTGTGCCACACACACATTAAAACAATTTCCCACATCTGACTTGGACAGATTATGAAAAGTTCTTAAAATGAATAAAAAAAAAAAAAAATCGACGGATAAAGACCCCAAGTCTATTTTAGCTGGACTATGCAGCAGGTCAGCAGCAGTTTCATGGATCTAGTCGGTAGAGGAATGCGACTGAAAAAAGGAAAACGCATCCGCTTTGGGGAAAACATAAATTCAAATCGAGAGTCACTTTTCAGAGTCGCACATCGCGTGTATAGCAAGTGGGACCAACCCGTGCAAAAAAAGAATACTTTTTCTCAAGAGGACAAAAAATGGATAAAGTAGTGATCCTCTTTGAGCCTCACAAAAACGAATGACAAAAAGTGCAATTTATCAATCTCCTCGAAAATAAACCTAACTCCAGGAGGAGAAACTGACATAGTAAAATAGTGATCCTCTTTGAGCCTCACAAAAAACAAAATAACGAGGGGCAGATGGAAAAGGTAAGCGAGACATACACTATATTGCCAAAAGTATTTGCTCACCCATCCAAATTATTGGAATCAGGTGTTCCAATCACTTCCATGGCCACAGGTGTATAAATTCAAGCACCTAGGCATGCAGACTGTTTTTACAAACATTTGTGAAAGAATGGGTCGCTCTCAGGAGCTCAGTGAATTCCAGCGTGGAACTGTGATAGGATGCCACCTGTGCAACAAATCCAGTCGTGAAATTTCCTCGCTCCTAAATATTCCACAGTCAACTGTCAGCTGTATTATAAGAAAATGGAAGTGTTTGGGAACGACAGCAACTCAGCCACGAAGTGGTAGGCCACGTAAACTGACGGAGCGGGGTCAGCGGATGCTGACGCGCATAGTGCGAAGAGGTCGCCAACTTTCTGCAGAGTCAATCACTGCAGACCTCCAAACTTCATGTGGCCTTCAGATTAGCTCAAGAACAGTGCGCAGAGAGCTTCATGGAATGGGTTTCCATGGTCGAGCAGCTGCATCCAAGCCATACATCACCAAGTGCAATGCAAAGCGTCGGATGCGGTGGTGTAAAGCACGCCGCCACTGGACTCTAGAGCAGTGGAGACGCGTTCTCTGGAGTGACGAATCGCGCTTCTCCATCTGGCAATCTGATGGACGGGTCTGGGTTTGGCGGTTGCCAGGAGAACGGTACTTGTCTGACTGCATTGTGCCAAGTGTAAAGTTTGGTGGAGGGGGGATTATGGTGTGGGGTTGTTTTTCAGGAGCTGGGCTTGGCCCCTTAGTTCCAGTGAAAGGAACTCTGAATGCTTCAGCATACCAAGACATTTTGGACAATTCCATGCTCCCAACTTTGTGGGAACAGTTTGGAGCTGGCCCCTTCCTCTTCCAACATGACTGTGCACCAGTGCACAAAGCAAGGTCCATAAAGACATGGATGACAGAGTCTGGTGTGGATGAACTTGACTGGCCTGCACAGAGTCCTGACCTCAACCCGATAGAACACCTTTGGGATGAATTAGAGCGGAGACTGAGAGCCAGGCCTTCTCGTCCAACATCAGTGTGCGACCTCACAAATGCGCTTCTGGAAGAATGGTCAAAAATTCCCATAAACACACTCCTAAACCTTGTGGACAGCCTTCCCAGAAGAGTTGAAGCTGTTCTAGCTGCAAAGGGTGGACCGACGTCATATTGAACCCTATGGATTAGGAACGGGATGTCACTTAAGCTCATATGTGAATCAAGGCAGGTGAGCAAATACTTTTGGCAATATAGTGTATCTCTTTCACCTCTTAAAGAAAAAAAGAAAGTAAAACTTCGATTGCCTTTCCAGATCTCTTTCTGAGTCATCTCTCACTGCTGCAGTCAGCAAATAAACCGTCCCACATATTTTATTAATATTTTTTCTTTTCTTTAGACATAGATTTCATTATGTTTTTAATATCGGCATATGAACATTCTCTATCTGATTTAGTTTGAGACGCTGCACAGACTCGCTTTGCTTTATCGAATGTGCCAGTGTTTTTTTTATTTTATTTTTTTATAACTTCATTATCTGTCCAAGTCAAATGTGGGAAACTGTTTAAATTTGTGTGTTACACAGACAGAAGTTTAAAAAAAATCTGCACCGATCTGCCCACCCTGCCAAGCCGGAGCCAGTGTGACTTGGAAAAAAAATTGAATCAGAGATTAAAAAGTCGTGCTTCTGCCCCTACTCTTGGGTTCATATGTAGAGCTCCCCCTACAGGTTTGGTGGGGTGCAGTTCAGCAGATACCAGAACCTTCTAGCCTGGTGCAGCTTTTATATGTACTCTAGCTTCTAAAAAAAAATGTTACGCGTGCAGCTTCTAGTTAGGTCTCTCTATAGTCCAGAAAATATGGTAAATCACTTGTTTGTAGCAGTTAATTCATTTAAAGTCCCTTTAATGACATCCATGTTTAGAATAAAGGAATAAACATCTAACCAGAAATGTATAGGGCTGCATTATATTATCATATCAGATATTATATAGTAATTCAGTTATACATTTTTATTGTTGTTTCTGTTAACCACTTCTTTACCTTCAGAAACTTTTCAGTTGCAATAAATATCCAGTCACCAAATACTTGGTACTCAAATAATTGGTGGTTATCAGTTACTGCTGTCTGGGTAGTTCTCTATGATATGCATATTCTGTAGAGTAATATAGGAAAAAAAATAAATTTACAATATGCACGCAGATATTCATAATAATATTATGCATGTTTCCTCTCCTATAAATATTTTCTTAAATGTTAAATTCAATTTGCTAGTTATTTAGATTTCTTTATTCCATAACTCAATTGTACTTTTTTTTTTCTTTTTTTATTCAAACAAGAGCTTTCCTGTATGAGTTAAAATTAACTGTCATTTTTTTCTTGTAACTTTAGTATTCTTCATCTTTAAAATATATTTACTTGCTCATTGACTTTAATCTTGTTTCAGTGACTTGGTGATATATCTAATCTATTTTATATTATGTGTAATCTTCTATTACTGCGGCTACAATGAATGAGCTCATTATGGATCCTCTTTTTATTTGTCTTCCTGTAGAAAAATTCATCCCAAAACTCTGAGAGTTTCCTCTTGGGCCATCAGGTTAACTCATGCAGCAGGATTGCTCCAGCAAATAATAAAGTCACCACAAAAGACACTTGTGGGCAATCATTACATGTGTTAGGACTGGAACAAAGCTCTGTTTATGCTGCTGAGGAAAACCATCAAGCATCCTGCAGCACAGAGAGAATCAGTTCTAATGAAACCAAACCACCACCAAATGTTGACCCGGAGGTTTTTAAGCTCCTTCCAGAAGAAATCCAGAAGGAAATTTTGTCTCCTTCTTATTTTAAATCCCAGCCAAGCCCCTCAGCGTCTGAGACCCACCACATGTCAACAAACAAGCCTCAAGAAAAAGATTTACCAATGAAAGTGGAGTCATCTAGTATGAATCAGCCTTGGCCGGCAGGAGTACATGTAAATCACGGAGAAAACGTCACGGAGAACTTATCGCTCCCCCAGTCATCTGACTGTAACTTCCCGGGAAATGTAGACCCCAAAGTGTTTTCTGAACTTCCTCCAGAAGTTCAGAAGGAGCTCCTGGCTGAGTGGAAGCAGCAGAAGCCGATTTTGAAAACTCCTTCTTCAAGAAAAACAGGAAAAGCCTCGACCTCCAAAGGCAAAGATAGAAAGGCTGAAGGGAGAGCCAGTCAGTCCAATAATCTGTTCAAGTATTTCAAACCTGGTTAGAGGGGGAAAAAAAGGATCTTATTTTTCTAAATGTTTGCTCTGTACGCTTTTGTTCATAATTATGGGATAAATTAACAAGACTGTTTCCGTCTCCTTTCAGTGTCGCCACATTGAATTACACATGGTATAATGGGGCCTGTTGGATGGAAGTTTAATAAAAAATGTAATTTTTATAACACCAAGTGGAGTTAAACTTGTTTTTGTTTTTATTGCAGTATTAAGTGGGGCACGTTCCTTGCTTGTTATTTCTCTGCAGAACATTATCCAAGACAAACAAGTTTTCAGAGAGCTTTTCATGCCTGCCCTCCCCTCCTTCATAAGAAAAGCTCAGCTTCGCCTGGATCTCTGAGGCCTGAAACTCCTCCCTGGATCACATGTGAGATGGGGGGGCTCAGAGTCTGCAATGTGCAGTCGCTTCATGAGAGCCATTATTTTCAATTCATAAAGATTGGAAGGGCTTCTAATGGATGGATGGGATTTCTACAGATAGATCGGTAAGATTCCCCTAACATTTGATGATGCAGGCTATTTAAGGACACACCATCTGTTCATTTAGATGCTCTTGGTCAATTTTACAGCAGAGCGCTTATAAAGTACTCAACTTCTCAAAACAATGTGCCTTGTTGCAGCTCAGTTATTGACAGTTAATCATTTTAAATCCAATTCAAGGGCCAGTAAGTCAGTGTCACGTCTGATAACAATGACCTCATACAGCTCTGAGATGTCTGTGGTTTCTGAAGTCAGTGAAAGGGAGTCCTATTTTCCACAGCGAATTCAGGGAAAACTCTAGAGAGACATTTGACTGCTCATGTGGAATCCAGCTCCAGTCATGTGCTAGTCCTTCCTTGGTCAGGGGGTTATTACGTACTGTTAAGCCTCTGTGATGGTCATGCCGCTTCAGTCCAAAAATACAAAAATACTGCAGCTAAGATGGTAGAATTTAACTCGCCTGGTCAGAATTTACTTAGAATCACTCTAATACCAACTCTACTGTCTACAGTCCCATGAAAACATGCAGAATCTTTTGCAGGTTCAGTAAAACTGCACCATGGTCGACTGCGACTACGATTATCTGATCAAGCTGCTGGCCCTCGGGGACTCAGGTGTGGGAAAGACCACCTTCCTTTACAGGTACACCGAGAGGACGTTCAACAGGAAGTTCACTACCACAGTGGGAATTGACTTCAGGGAGAAGAGAGTGGTGAGCAGCTGAAGATGAAACTTGTTCCTTATTAAAGTATTTCCACAATGTATTCAAGTTGAAGTGAAAATCGACAGTGCATGCACACTACAAATTATTTGAAACATTCATGCAGAAGGTAGTTTGAAGTGTCACTTATGGTTGAAACATGTAGTTCCTCAGCTTTACCTGTTTACAACAAAATGCTCAGAATAAAACGGCTCAGAATAAATTACTAAATATAAATGTGGAAGGTTTTTCTATTAATTATACCACAATCAACCCTAGAATTTCTTCATGTTAAATTTATCAAACATTTTCCACAAGTGGTTCACCTGTTACTTACTGACTTATTTCTAAAATTGACCCAATGTAAGGATAAGCCTGAGTTTATTGTTGATGACAACATAGAACAGAGATGGAAAGACCAGATCTCATTCTTGGGAACTGTTTGGGTGAGTTCTCTGGTGATGTCAGGAGTACTCAGTCAATTTGGTCACATGATAGAAAAAATGTTTTGTTTCGTGTCTGTAGTGTAAGTACAATCAGAGGTGTTACAATAATGTATCTTAACAACAAAGTTCACATAGATGGAGAGATAAGGAGGCTCAAAAATGGAGCCTTGAGGAACTATTGGCCATCATTCTTTTTTATTCTGACTAAGCAAATAGGTGCAACCCTCTCATTTAATAACTTTAGTATGGGCAACTATGTTTCAGTTTGTTTCAAAAGTGTCAAATTATTTGAATGCATCAAGGGCAGAGAAAATATTGAAGGGATTGCAGAAACTACAACAATTGGGTAAAGAATACAATATTTAAAACTGAAAGGCTAGTTAGGACCCATTGTCTGGAAGGAACAAATATATAGATAGACAAGATATCAACATACTATAATTTGTAGCGATTATAAAATAAAATGGTCAAATAATTTCTGTTTGTGCGTCGTAAAAAATCTGGACTTTTCCAGTTGGATGATGCTCTGGTTTGGTTCAGGTGTACACAGGAACTGGTGCAGATGGGACCAGTGAGAGAAACTTTAGAGTCCACCTTCAGCTCTGGGACACAGCTGGTCAAGAGAGGTAATGTGGACATTTTTATCATCTTTCAATCCGCACTATAGCAAGAGGATCTTTCCCAGCTTGTCTAAAAATCGATTTATTCCCAGGTTCCGCAGCCTCACAACAGCTTTTTTCCGAGATGCAATGGGCTTCCTGTTGATGTTCGACTTGACCAATCAGCAAAGTGTCCTTAACGTTAGGAACTGGATGAGTAAGTGGCTTCTTGTTGTTTTAAAGCCTGACTGATTAATAGTTTCATCCTGATTGTAACAACTTCCCCTGCGTTTGTGCAGGTCAGCTTCAGGCCAACGCATACTGTGATAACCCAGATGTGGTGCTGGTGGGCACAAAGGCAGACCTCAAAGACACAAGGAATGTTAACGCCAGACAGGCCAGAGAATTAGCAGATAGATATGGGTGGGTGGAAACACTTCAGTCTTTGCCTAAAAGGAAAGATGTGCTTTTATTTATTGAAAGGATTTTCTTCCTATGTCTAAATTGTTCCTACTACTCCCACTTTACCACCTGTTGGTTAAATCACACTTTTACTGCTAGTTTTGAGGTAAGGACTAAATCATCTTTAAAGCCTTTATAACAAAATGAGGGGAAATTAGTGCCCAGGACCTGAAGAGCTTTATCTACACAGATCAATAGTTTACTATAATTTAATATACAAACAAGAATAAAATAAAAGCAATACATTTCTAAGATAAGGCAGGCTTGGTCAAAGCTGAACAAGAGCTTTAGCTGTACTTTAGACAAACTCCCTGATTATTTCCTAACAACAGATCACTGGGAACAAAGCTTTTAATAACACTTAGTTTCCAGTATATATATATAAACTCAAAAAGAAACTTAAACATAACAAAAAAGTCCACAAAGGGCAGAATCATGGCAATAGTCGGTGGGAGATTCCATTACATACAAGAGATCATGAATCCAGCAAACAGCTTCTAGGTGCCAAACCAACCTGTTATTAACTGTCTGGAGGCATCCAGACCAAAACATGAATATGGTTCATCCTCCTCAGACCTCAGTCAGCCACAGAGCAAGAATGATCAGTTTAAGATTACTTCTTTACTGTGGTTTATTTTTACAGGTTATTTCAAAAGAATTGAGTGAGTGTAACTTCAGACAGAGCTTAATGCCAAAGCAAAAAAAAAAAAAGATCTAAAATATAGAACCAAACTAATCTAAGCAATGCAAAGCAAAATACAATAGCTTACCTCCCCATCCAAAACAGGAGAAAACTAAATGAAACTAAACAGGTTGCTCATACCTACAAGCTCCTCTAAGTGATTTCAGACTGGTTGGGATGAGCAGAAGATGAACGCCAATGTCAGGCAGTTAGGTAAATACTGTAAGCTGGTTCGATCAAAATTAGAAATCAGATGACATAAGATCATGTGTAAGGAATAAAACAAGTCTAAAGAAAGACAATATCTGAAAGTCATATTTTAACGAAATAAGGAAATTCTCCATCCCTCAGCTGATCAACCTTTTTGATTTAAAAATTACATGTTCTACATATTTTGATTAAAATGCATTAAAATCATATAATTTTAAAAACAAAAGTAACAAACAAACAGAGGTAAAAAAAGATGTAAATATTTGTACATCTCTGTAACTGGCTGCATCATGCTATACGACATTTGTGTTTGATTCCTAAAACATTCCGGTGTTTCCATCAGCGTCCCCTACTTTGAGACGAGTGCTGTGACGGGAGTTAACGTGGATTTGGCAGTGACCTCCCTGCTGAACCTGGTGATGGAGAGGATGGAGCAGAGCACATACGGGGCCCACGGCTCCGAACCAAACGGCAGCCCCACCACCAGCCATGAGGCAGAGGAGGCTCCCATTCGGAGGTGGTGCTCCTGTTAATGTCCCCAGCACCAGCTTTGTGGGATGAACAGACCTTAAAAGCCAAACATAGACTGATCGACTCTTTTACACTTCTGGTTTGAAGATCACTACATTTTGCTGCCATTTATTTCTGATTTTTTTGCAAAAATAAAGTTTAGTTTAATTTTGTTTTTTTTCTCTCTGAGACTATGGTAATATCATGAAACAGATATCTTATCTCTTTAAAAATGTTAAAAGCACCTATGATTTTAAAATAAGTAAAACTATCTATTCAGCGGTGCAAAATTGATCAGGCCTAAAAACTTTAACAAAACGAGAACACATTTTATAGAATCTCCTTTATTTTCTCTTGTTGTGTCAAAATAAAATAAACAGCGTTTTGGTCAGTTTGTGCTTCTTGATTGTTGAAAAATATAAATGCAATAAAAAAGAGAAAGTTTTATGAAACAGTACGAGTAGACTTCCCCATCAGCTGAACTTATTCAGAAATAATTGTAGGAATGAAAGTATAAAAAAAGTATAAAGTTAATCATTGCAGAGAAACAAATCTTTTTGATTAATTCTGGTGGTCATTTTTTTTTTAATACAAAATTGTTAGAAGTATTAATACTATTATACTCACAATGAAAGTTTCTTAAATGTATTTTCTAACTGAATTTATCCTCATTGAACTTTAACACATATTTTATCTATATAGCGTATTAACTTGTATGTATGAAAAATAGGACCCTGTGTTGAAATGAGGTGCTTAGTTTAAATCATGTAAAGAAAACAAGTAAAGATGAAGACAAACTGTAAATTAAACTAAAGTTGACCATTACTAAGAAAGTGGAAGGAAACTATGGACAAAGAGGATCAAGTCTCTGTCTTTGTTCCTTGTTGATATTTATATTGCCATGACAATCTATTATAGCCTAACATTACATCTGGCACTTACTTTCTTCTTCCAAATCAGCTGACCTGATTCCATGACAAAAAATAAGCTGTGTATCTACAGCGACTGTTTTGATGATGATCAAAAGCCTTCCTTTTTTTTTTCTGCTTCCTCATTTGCTAAGGGTGGTTGTCTGAGCTGCTTCAAAGTTAAAGAATAAAATCTTATATCCTTTATTTGGTTAAAAGAAAAGTAACATGTTATCTGTTTGTTATCAGACACATTAGTGTGTGAATGTGTGCATGAATGGGTGAATGACTGAATGTAGTGGAAAGCAATGGAGTCCCCTGACTGAAATAAGGCGCCATAAAAGCAGAGACCATTTACAATATATTGGGGGGAAAAAGAGCTAATGAAATATCTAAAAAGTTAATAATAAAATTTAAATGAATGTTTACCGTTATGTCCTGCTGGCGACCTGTCCAGGGTGTACCACGCCTTTCGCCCGTAGACTGCTGGTAGGCACCAGGACCCCTCGCGCCCCCGCTTGGGATAAGCGTAATGGAAAATGGATGGATGTTTACCGTAATGTAAACATCAATCTTTAGTTTTAAAACAGTCTTTTAGAAAACAATGTATAATTTTCTAAATCATAAATGAGGCTTTAATATTTATTTTCATTCAGTATACAAAGATCAGGATTGTTGAACCATAAACTGAATTTTATTGATAAAAAATCTCAAAACTCATTACAGATGACTATTGCTCTACGATCGTCTTAGAGAAAAAGTTTGGATTTTTTTGTTATTTTTTTTTAGTTAGTATTGTTGTTATTCATATACATGATGGATTTAAATGTGAAGGGAGCATTTTAAAATAGATTTAAGCCAATATAACCACATCTGCAGAAATATTGTGATTAGTGTGAGGAATTTATGCAGGAGTCTAAGCACTTTTGGCACTCAATTTTTTATTTGTGATTCTTGTTATAATAGTTTATTTTCATTCCCTGTTATTTGATTATTTAAAATGTATAGCAGTTTGGCACTAAGGTGTTATTTCAAATATTCGACCCAACTTGATTCATTCCCCAAATTCTTATGTTTAGCCTAATTTAGGCCTTCTGGTTTTTTATTAGAGTATCTATCAGTATATAAGGCAACATCACAATCCCAGTGAAAGCTTTAGCCTTTCTTTACATTACCCTATTGTATATTTAAATCTCATAATACTACCAAACCTTATTGGGCAATAGCTGCATTAGACAATCCAAACATTTAGAGTTTTTGAGAAGCCAAAAGCTTTTATGAAGTAATGATAATTATTTCAATGTTTTATTTTCATAAATATATCTGTGTTTTTAAAATTGATTCAACATTAGTAGCAGATTAACAAAAGGTTGGAGGGACAAAAAAAGGTTTTGCTAAAAAAATTCAACTTTTCATATCATTCTTCAAACACAGGTTAAACCATATTGCATGAAGTCTGGATATCAGCACATTGGCTCATAGTACATTTATAAATAAAAGCAGAAAACAATTTATGAAATTGTTTTGTTTGCTATATCTATAATATAACTGTAATGAAAATTAGATCCAGATGATGGCAGCAGTGCAACAGATGAATTTCAGTTGGATTTTAAAATACCAGAAAGGTTAAAGAAAGATAGTAGAACATGTCATAGAGGATTTTCTATTCAATTCAGTTTATTTTTTATAACGCAAATTCACAATCCATGTCATCTCAAGGCACTTTACAATTCACCAGATCATACAGTCAAATTGATTCAAAGTTTTCTACAGTATCAAAGGAAAACCAGTTGATGGTATCGACTCATTGACTCGAAGGCAATCCCTCACACTAAAAGCAGATGTTACATAACCAACACGGTAATCGGTTCTTGCATAACAGAGTTTTTGCTCTGTTCAAGTTTTTCATTTTGGGTCTTTATATGAAGCAAAGTATAAACCCTAACCCTAACCCTAAGGTTTAGGAACTCCCTAATAGAGATGTTCTGATATTATAATTATTTTATCTCCCGATATGATTACAGTGCTTGTGCTGTTAGTATCGCCCAATACCGGGTACAGATATCAGTATGTTACAAAAAAATATGTATAATCATACTACGCCTGCCTGACTGTGATATGATTATCACTGTGAGGCCTGGCTGATGTTAAACCCTATAATGGAAGCATGAATGAATACAGCTAATGTAAGCCATTTATTTTTTAAATAGAAATGTAGAAAAAAAACGGTAGTAGAGGGGCAGCAAGCTCCATCTCTGACAGGTGTCGGATGGTGAGCCCTTCACCTGTCTACAATAACAGACAGCAGGAAGCAGTACGGTGCCACTGTTTTAAGAGTGGTAAAGAAGACTGTGTCAGAACTAATGAAAATAACCAGTAAATAGAGACATTTGAATTGAGAAAGCTTCCTGGAGGGGAAGCGAAACCTTGGAGCCTTGGAAACCAAGTGTTTTTAAACTTTATGGAATGACTATGACCTGGATGACTGAGAATTTTCATCAGCAAACCAGTAAATAGATTCCTGTTCTAATTCCTATTTTATATTGCATAATATTGGATCAGTGCCTGGACTTCAATACTTGCCCACTCTGATGCCAGAATTTTTGGCAGTAACTGAGACATTTCCGACACTGATATCGGAATAACTCTTCAGAAGTTAAAGACTACTTTCAGTTATGGGAATTTTCTTTTTTTTTTCATTCATCTTGTGGATTGGAGATTGGGTAATATAAGTAATTAAATTAGTTTACAAATGTGAAATATAATCAAACCAAACCAAAGCTACTTAATAAATGGAGAGAAAGGATTTTCCAACTGCTTTAATCACAGTCTAGACTCAAACCATTGTGTCCTGCACAGCATCTGTGCCGTACTGTAGCTGTTTAACACTACATCCCTGACGGTTTCCCTTGCACATTAAAAGGGAGTCCAGCACAGATAACTTTTGTCTTTGCTCTATTATATATGAAACCCTTGGCTGAACTCAAATGTATTTATTTTGTGCAACAGACCCAGCAAACTGTTGGTTTACAGAGTGATTCGCTGCAACAAACAAATATCCAGGGATTTACCAGAGAACTTTTTCTTACTACTCCTGCTTTGTGAAATTGAGCCCTGCAGGCTGGTTGATTTTGGCTACATCATCCTGTAGGTGTGATTTGTTGATACCAACCTTAGATTTTTTATTTTTTTGAGGCTTATTGAAATCAACTGTAACTATATGCTCATTAAGGAGGAGCAAATGCTGCAAGTCTGTGACTTCATGTAATATGCTGGGTGTCCTTTGATATTTTTTTCCTATTCTAATTTTAAACATAATTAAACACAGTTAATTGTGTCTTTATTTCTTTAAACAAACAAGAGGAATGCAACAAAATAGTAGATAGATAATATTTAGGAATTGGGTTCAAATAAAATCAGAGATTTAACAGATCTGTTTGATTAATTTGAATATCATGGGATTGAATCAGGGCTGGACTGGGACAAACTTTTTACCATTTGAGCAGAGACAGGCCCACCTGATATTGATGAAATGACAGTTAAACCTACCAAGGTCAAAATGATCAATTTCACTGTATGATTTGGTTAAGTTGTCTCTGTAAAGTGTTGTGAATTGGTGCTACGGTATATAAATAAACTAAATTTAATTGAATCAGTAATTTATTTTATTTTTTCAGTTACATACGTTTCTGATACAGATACTGGAAACAGTTTTTAACTTTAACAATGTTATTGCCCTGTTGGACTTACATGTAAGCAAACAATAGAATGCATTACTTAAAATACAATTTCAAAATAGAGAAAAATAAAAGTAATTACAACCTCGAAATACAAAACAATACATATGGTACAATTCAAAAATAACTGCAAAGCTGCTCCTTGTATAGGAACCAATGTAGTTCTGATTGTAAACTATGTCAGTTTGTTGTCTTTCTTCGGGTTATGAGTATCTTGTTCTGAGTATTTCTTAAAAGTAAACGGAAGTTCTCACCTCATGGACATTTCTAACCAGTAGCTCTAAAGTGAACCCAGAAGTCTGACGTACAGGTACAGTGAAAGTAAAATCGTGCTCTTTTGCAGAATATTTTTTTCATTTCAACAACAAACTGAAATAGCATTCTGTAATACTCTGTGCTACTCAGGGTTAACATAAATTATTTTAGTTTACATATCTCAGCTGTGTCTCCGAATTTACAGTACATTCGTATTCCAGCATAGAGCGGCTGAGTGAAGGTGGTCTGCACTCTGTGGAGAAGAGTCATGTTCTCAGAGACGTTGTAAAACGACAGAGTACCTGCTCGTTGATTCACATACACCCCAATTCTGGAAAATTTAGAACCAGGGATGAGAGTTTGGATTTTGTTGTGCAAAAAAATGTTTTTGTTTAAGCTACAAAATAAAGCCCAGGACTTGTCATTAGCTCCAAACTCAGTGTCTGCTTTATAGACCTCCTTATAAGCGACTGCCACATAGCCTCCCAGTC